TGTGTTTGCGCAAGTTTAATGTCGCGCAGCATCAGTGCAGGAAGACTGACTGGATATTACAGGCAAAATTGCACGACAATCCTCATCTGCCTTTGCTGAGGGTGCAACGGCCGGTTCCGCTTCAAGCGGCGCCCTTACTTGCACCACCTCGAAAGATGATTCTGAATGTGAAAGGCCGGGATCTGTTACAGGGGAGCTGTGAAGAATTATTGCCTGCTCTTCTGTTTCTGATTCCATGATTTGGTAAGGGTCTGCTGTGGCATCTGTTGTTGGAGTTTCGCTAGGAGATTTTTCTGGCCGAACCAAACTGCCAGGACGGTGCTTTGGTTTGGGACGCATCCACCTAGGTTCGACCTCTATAGGGTTGCGCCCTAGCAGTTGCAGGGCAACCGGTTAATGAGGGGGTTACATGTGTTGTTGACTCTCAAGCCTCGGGTTCGAACGTGGAAGAACCTGGCCCTAGTCTTCTGCCTGAACCCGGTTTATGTAATCCCGAACCCCGTGTCTGATTCTGCCTCTAATGAAGGGATTTGCCCGAGTCCTCCTCAGGTTTATCCTTGTGCAAGCAATCCCGAATCTGTGACGGATTCTGCGCATCATTCTGCGCAACCTAAACCTGACTTGAGACAAAGTGGATGCGTGGATGACCTAATGAGTACTCTCCCGCATGAAACAAATGTGCGAGAGCTTGAGAACATCGAGGCTGGATGGTCAAGCCTGAGGGGTCTCCTCGAGCAAGATGGCGGAAGCGACAATGAAGTGAATGATCAACCTTTCAGCGAGTGTGCCGCGTGGGATGAATACGATCCATCGCCTTGTGATGCTAGTGTGCATGCAGAAGTGAGTTCAGGTTTGGAGTCAACCGAGAGTTCCAACTGGGCTGTGTGTGTACCGGGTCCTAGTACAGGTCGCCCGCGTGATTGGATCCAAACCGAGATTGCAAGAACGGGTTCATTTTTAATCGGAAGGCTAGCTTTGCATGACGTTGTCACACATGCGCCTGCTTCGACATAACCCTGCCGTGGGAGACACCATTTGCAAAGATGATTTTTGAAGGTCACGAAGAAGCTTTGCTTAACCCGCTGCAGGGCATGACGCAGTCTCAGGACGTGCCTAGGGTTTTGCCGTGTTTTAGTGAACCTAGTCCCAAACCCGCCTTCCCGCCGGCTGACCCTATCCACCCTAGGGGTTCAGTGTTTCTTTGGGCAATCGCCAAAGCCTCGACTGTGGAGGATCGTGATCCAGACCAAGAAAGGAGCTTGTTAATGACCAAAGGTGTGCATTTATGGGTGCAGTTAAGTATCCGCTTCCAAAAACAATGTCAAACCTTTCGGCAAGTTGATGCTGCAGGGGGCCAGTGCAGTGACGATGAATTGTTCGAATCCATGAGCGCAGTCATGGGCAACCGGAGCCCACGCACCGTGGTTAAGCGTGGCTCTGCGCTTTCGGCATTTGTTCGGTTCATGGACACACACTTACCTCACGTCCTTGGAAAAGTGGCGGAGTCCCATGTTTGGGAGTACGTAAAATACTTGAAAGCATCGCGTGCTCCCCCGACGAAAGCTGCATCATTTGTGAGTAGCTTGCGATTTGCCTACTTTGTTGCGGGCTTTGACATCCAGGACACTTTCAGCAGTCGGCGGGTAGGGGGCCTGTCTTCGCAGATGTATGCTGAAAAACGTAAATTGAAACAAGCTGCTGTTCTTTCCGTGTCACAAGTTATGCGCCTCCATCAGTCCCTTAAGGATCGAAGCCGTCATAAGTTTGATCGGCTGCTCCTTGCGGCAATTCTGCTCAGGCTGTATGGTCGTGCAAGACACAGTGACTTGCTCTTCATTATTGCCACCTCCTTGGATAAAGGAGTCGCCGAAGCATATGTTTTTTTTTGAAGTTTCGCAGCACAAAGGTGCTAGAGGTGCCAGACAGAAAGCGCAGGTCATGCCCATCCTTGTGCCCATGATAGGTGTTCATGGTGAATGCTGGATCGAGGAGGCCGCTGAAGCTTTCAGCGCGTGTGGCTTGAATTTGGAGTCTGTGTCTGGACCTTTAGTTCCGGCTCCAGCGGATGAAGATGCCACATGTTTTGCAAAGCGTTCAGTCAAGTCAAGCAAGCTTGGAAGAGCATTGCGTGGTTTTCTCGGGCAGAGTGAAGCACACACCGGGGAAAGTCGGTTATCCAGCCATAGCTTGCGTGCAACTTGCCTGTCTTGGGTGTCTAAATACGGGCTGGATACCGAAACTTCTTCCATCCTTGGACGGCATGCGTCTTCTGCAAAAGTTACCGCTGCTATCTACAGCAGAGATCTTTGTGTAGCTCCAACGAGAGCCTTGCAAGGAGTGAAAAAGGAAATTGCACAAGGTGCATTTGTGCCTGATAACCCGCGTTCCAAACATTTCACTTTTCCGCCTGGTCCTGGTCATGCCAACGATGTGGTTGGTGCCCATGCAATGCAAACAATTAATCCGGCTGCGAAGGTTGCGCCACTTGTTAAAAATGAGCCGCTTGTGATAAGTGATGATGAGAAAGCCGATGGCAATGACAGCCCATTGATTGATGTTGCTTGCGACAGCAGTTCGTCAAGCTCTTCGTCATCAGATTCGTCTAGCGATGAGGAGTGTGCACAACCTGCAACTGTCGGACGCTACAAGCGCGCAAGACCAAGTGAGCAAGCAGGTCAGGTGTGGTACATGCATTCAAAAAGCACCGTGTTGCACCTCAGGAAAAATGATGGCCCAATCCTTGCCTGTGGAAGACCTGTGAATGCTCGTTATGAAAGAGCGTCAGCGACTGCTCTTCAAAATTGTGATGAATGCAGGACATGTCGCAGGAACATGTGATTCCAGGCTGGGTATATGTGTGCCTTGTCTGGTTCTGGTTCGATGTGAACCATATATACCAATGAGTCGCCGACTCACGACCATTGCGATGTGCTTTGGTGAATGAACACTTTCTGGGCGATGAGCCCAAAATTTTGGCTACTATGTGAAGCCTGTGACATGTGCTCGAAAATCGGTGTGATGTTTAGGTTGTGCGAGCTGTCACTGTGCTGCTTGAAAGTGTTCTCGCTGCAGAAGTACCATGATTTCACATGCTGACATGTATGTGTTTCACGTGAGCGTTCTGTCTTGAGATTTGAATCGAAATATGTTCACCTGTGATTCACTGAGGTTTTGGATCAAGAATCTTTTCCAGAGCCGCCGTGACGTCCTTGATCGAGAGTACACACCACTTCGAGAAGAGATGTGGTGAGCTAAGCTTGGCTGAAGACACGTGTAAAGCGCTCAAAGCCTGTGGCATAACATCATTGTCGCGTTTTGCCTACGCTGTTGGCCAGCCGGGCCAGGCTTTGGACAACAATGAATGTGTCAACAGCAATTTTGCTGCTGCGTCAATAGGCGAGCAATCGGGGCTAAAACGGCTTCTTTTCGAAGCTCAAACGCTCCTACTCAGTGACCTGCGTGAGCAAGTCACTCAGCCTGAGAAATGGGCCACGAGAGCAGTCCCTGACGTGGAACGCCGCAAAAGGCTTGATGGGGTCAGAGCATCCATCGCAGGTGTTATTGTTGAGGGCCCAATGGAACCAGCGCACCACTTGTTGGAAGCCACGTCGCGCATGGAGCGCGAAGGCCAGCTGAGATACATCCCACCGGAAAAATGCCCGACGCGACAACAGGAAATCCAAGCTGGTAAGACAACAAGTGCACGCATTGTTGAGTGTGATGGCAAGCTGACTCTAAAAGAGGAGAAGGAGATGGGCGACATCACGTGTGGATCGGCCATCTTGGTCCAAGAGGCACTGCATCGCAGAGGCATTGCGTTGCAGTTCGCAGGCATTTGCACTTACCTACAGCACGAGAGATACTTGCTCAAGCTTTTCTCTCATATGGCGCGCGAGCCACCACCTGGATGCCAGCGCACGTCAGTGCAACAAATTGTTACTGCCGACAAGGCTGTTTGGACCAGGTTGGTCGAAGATGATGTGCAACCCAAGCGTGCCAGCAACGGTTCATACCCAGTTGGGGAGGCTTTGGTTCCGACTCTGGAATCGTATGACATCACTATTCATCTGTTGCCCCGCATGCGCAATGACACTCCAGCACGCAAGCGAACCGGTGGCCAGCCAGGCAAGGGCGACCGAACAAAGTGGCAGCGCACTGATGAGACAAGCAAAGGTAAAGGTAAAGGAGGTGCCGGCAAGACAGGTAAAGGCAAAGGTACCTCTACCTACGTGCCCAGTGTGCCAAATGCAATCCGCCTGCTAGGTGGATCAGGAATGACCCCTGACAAGAAGCGCATTTGCTTCGACCGCAACATCAGTGGATGCAAGTTGAATCCGTGCCCTAAAGGCCTTCACGTCTGTGCTCTGTGCTTTGCGGAGGACCACGGAATCCAGGAGTGCCCAAAGCGTAAGAAAGCCTGAAAGGAGGCCTGCAGTGTGATGGGTGATCACTGCCATCCGCATTTACCTCCTGCTGTCGTGGATTCCGTGCAGGGTGTATTGGATTCTGACCATGAACAGCCAATCCCGTGTGCCAAAAATGCTGCAAGTTTGCATGATGCACAGCATAGCCATGCTGTTAATAACCTTAATTCTTTCCTTCCTAATGTCCCTAATTCGACGCCTTCGCAGTTAGGTGATGCGCAAACAACTCAAGAAGAGCCACCTGTGACTTGCTCTTCGTGCTCTGTAAATGATACCGAAAGTGTTGCTCTGATGCAGACACAACTTTGCGGAGCAAATGCAACTTCAACCTTGAATCATGCTTGCCCTGAGACCCCACTGTTCTTGGTGACCCACTTGTGATCGAGCTGTTCGCCGGCACAGCGCGTGTCACAGCCTGCCTTAAACAACTTGGACTGAAATCTTCCGTAGGAGTTGACAAGGATGCGTCAAAAGCATGCTCCACCTGCCTCACTGCCGATATGACATCACCCGAAGGACAAGCTCTTGTGTGGGAGTGGGTTGAATCCCCACGCCTAGCGGCGCTGCATGCTGCACCGCCCTGTGGAACAAGCTCGCGGAAGCATCTACGGCTCAAGCTTGG